GCCCGGCTGGGGCCTGAGGCAGACGCTGGAGCCCGAGGGGTTGGTCAGCCCGGTGTGGTGGTCGGTGATTTCCCTCGCTTTTCTTTTGATAGCACGGAGAAGTTTCGCTGATTTTTGATGCGGGTTTTTTTTTTTTTTTCTTTTTTTATTTATTTCTTTTTCCCTAGCCATCAGGTAGGGATTTTACTGGAAGCCGTGGTCTGTCGGGATGAGTTTTCTGCTGCCCAAACTGACCTGTAAGAGGGAAGTGGATCAGGCAATAAAAAGCGTGGCCGAGAAGGTTCTGGTTCTCCGGTTTGGAAGAGATAATGATGCTGTTTGCCTGCAGCTCGATGATATTGTAAGAGCAATTTTTTTTTCTTTTTTTCTCTTTTAAATAAACTCTACCAGTATACATGTGTACATATGTTGCTTTTGGATAATAGGGCGTCTCATGAAAATTGGGGTGACAAATGTAAAATGAAATAATACTATATTCATAAAACGGTTTGAAAATTAAGGAAATGTTTATGTTATTGTAGCGGGTGCACAAAGTGCTTGAAGTAGACGTGACGTGATACTCTAGGCCTGCTCCAACTGCTGAGCCGCAAGGGAAGCGGGCTTTATGGAGCTTGCCACCCTTTTTCCTCTTATGTCTCCATCCACGTGCCATCCATCTTTCTCGTTCTTTTCAGCTCGCAAAGACAGCTCATGACCTGAGTAAAATGGCAGTCATTTACCTGGTGGATGTGAACAAGGTTCCAGTGTACACCCAGTATTTTGACATCAGTTACATTCCATCCACTGTATTTTTCTTCAACGGGCAACACATGAAGGTTGATTATGGGTATGTCGTCCGACCTGCCGTTACCTAGTATGTCTGTAAGAATTATCAGTCTTCCTCTGCGTTACCGTCTCCGGGGAAGGTAATGTTTGTTTGAAAACTGTACTGTTGTTACCAGCCTCTGCACTGAGAACTCTGTAGGAAGCCAGAAGGACAGAGAATGAGGAAGTGCTCTGAAATAGGCTCCGATGCCATAAGATACCCAGAGAGGTAGTGGAGGCCCCATCCCTGGGAACATTCAAGGCCAGGTTGGATGGGGCTCTGAGCAACCTGATCTAGTTAGCGGTGTCCCTGCTCACTGCAGGGGGGTTGGACTAGATGACCACTAGTGGTCCCTTCCAACCCTAAACATTCTATGATTCTATGATTCTAAGTAGGTGTCAGCCATGAAACATGTCTGACTCTGCAAAAAATAGCATGGTGAAGGTCTTAGAGGTGACACTGCACCTTTTTGGACTTTGGAGGTCACAGTGTATTCCCGACTTGGTTATGCCATTACCAGTGTGGTTCATTCTTGCAGAATGACCAAATTGGAGCCCCTAATTTCGTTATACATCTTTTCTTGTCTTCCCGTGTTTTTGCTTTGAACGCTTTAACCTTACAACTCTGCCTTTATCTTATGCTTATATTTAGGTCTCCAGATCATACCAAATTTGTAGGAAGCTTCAAAACAAAGCAAGACTTTATAGATCTGATTGAAGTGATTTACCGTGGAGCAATGCGTGGAAAACTCATTGTGAGGAGTCCTATTGATCCCAAAAACATTCCTAAATACGACCTCCTCTACCAAGGAATTTAATGGCCTGGCCTGAGATAAAGAGTGACGGAAATGGCCGATGTGACGTTCTAGAACCCTTTTTTCCCCTCAAGCACTGTGCGACAGTTGGAGCGTTTATGTTGAAGGATCATATTGGTCTCCTTCTGAAGACAGACATTCTGTCACCTCATACTTCTATTGTAAATAAAGCTACACGTTCACGCAAGTGACTGTTCTTTGTGTTGCATGCTGACCAGCACCTACAAAGCAGGCGGGTTGTACGCATCCTCACCGACGGCATCTCCAGTGCAACTTTCTTAAGCGAACTAAAGCACCCTATAGTCATCTTAGTTGTCTATTTACTACCATTTCCATTCAGATGCAATAACAGTAAACCTATCTTTATTTAAAAAGCTATGCTTGCTCTCGAGAGCATTCAACTGACCGTGCCCTTTCCAATGGCATTTTACACTTTTACCCGTTACTGGATAACTGGGCGGAAGCTTTTTCAAATGGTATTAGAGATGACTGAAATCTGAAATGGAGATAAACACAAAAGGGAAGCTGACACGCTCTTTTCTCTGGTACCCCGTACTACTGTTCAACAACTTTTTTTGACTGAGATGGGAACTGAAGGACAAGGTTTTGTCATCCTTCAAAGCTCTTTTGCAGCCACCAAGCACTTTTTAATTCCCACAAAATCAAACGGGAAGTTCAGAGTAACTGTTTTGTTTACATGTGCTTTAAAGATTATTTGGTCTTCTGCTTGTATAAGTCGCAAACCTTGAGTATGGACATTAAAAAACTCTCAATTTCCTACCTCGAAATGTCTCAAATGAAGACAGCTAAGGGAAAATGGCAATGTCATTCTTTGGCGTGCATTTGGGCTAGACTATTGTGTTTCTATAGCAGCTCATGCCCAGTAATCTCACTGGCTTAGCTGGCTTCAAAACGGAAATTACTTTAGCTCACTGGATCACATTTGGGGCACAGCATCTCTGACTGGAGGGAAGGTAGTTGTAGTTCCCTGAAGTATCCTTCAACTCAACAGTAAACCTTTCAGGGAAGAAGGTGGATGTTCCAGCTCTTGAAAGATTTTAAACGCTATATGGTATACAGTGGGAGAAGAAAATGATCCTTTATATGCTTTCTGTGTTCTGGATTTGCCCTTTTAAAGTGAAAGCTATGCACTTAAGAAGCAAGCGTTTTCCTGATAGTTTAGTCTGATTGTAGAGCCGTAACTGCAGAATGTTAATTAAAAAAATTATCGATACAAGTGAGAGTTGATACGCCTCAACATCTTTATTTTGTGCAACTTCAAATTTCACAGCTAGCTGAAAGCTCGGGGCTTAGAGCTTTCAACAACATGCTTCTTTCCTAATAGTTAACTTGTATTTGTGCATTTCTGAAAACCAAACAAACTAGCTTCAGACTTAGAACTGTAAGTTGCTCCACAGTGAGAAGGTGGCCCCTAGGTGACTGAAAAATGCAGGGGTAGTTATGAAAGGAAGAGACCGCTGTCAAGAACAAATCAGTATTCCTTTATTTATTGCCTCTCTTCTTACTTGTGCTGCTTCTTGTTGCAATAGGTGAATGCCTGAAGGCTGTTGTGGTCTTGGCTTTCAGCGTGCTCTTCAGGTACCTAAAGATGGCACATAAGCAGCAGGAGGGTGCTAAACCATACTTTTCCGTTCCAGCAGAGACAGTAGGACAATTCACTTTCATGAGAGAACCTACAGCTTTATCTAGGGGCTTGCTGTTTGACACCCACTCATGGCAGTATTTCTGTATCCATTCTTGTATTTGTGGGTCGTGTCCAGCCTGGTGCCACATGTTGTGTGTGGAGTCGATGAATGCCACGGAGTACACTTTATTCATTACCTCCCATTTTCTCTGCACCAGCAGATCAACAAACACCAAGCCACCGTGGCCGTGGGCAACGAAGGCCACGTTCTTGGCTGCGCTCTTTGCAATGAAATGATCCCATACGTAGATGGTATGTTCCTCGGGGCTGCTGCTCCCCCTCTTGGGGATCCAGCAGGCAGACTCTGTAGAAGTCAGTGATTCCTCCCTGGTAAAAAAGCTTAACCTCTCCTTTTCAGTCTTCAGATCAACAAAGTTGTCATTGGGGTTCAGTACAATCACTCCCCCGTGCCTTTGAAGGGCCATTTTAATGAATGGTATTTGTGTTCCGTGCTCCAGACCCTCACTGATAATTGTCCTTTGCCCCCACTGTCCGGCACGGAAAACTCCACGGTCTTGAAGGAGGACAATTAGGCTAGAGGAACTTGTTAGTGCATTCTCACTCATGAAAAAGAAACTTCTTGGTTCATCCTCTGCAGCATCAGTAGGAATATAAGCTTTCTGCAGCATGCAGACTCTTTCCAGGAGCTCATAAACATACTGGGTAATCGCATGTCCCAAAACTTGATAGCGTTTATGATTCTGCTCGTGTGCATTCTTGTAATAATTGAAAACAAAGGACTCGTCTGTATCCAGATGCCTCAGTTCCCCTTTTCTATTGAAGTCGTACTTCAGTTCCTCCTGATACTCTGAACCCTCCATTAGTTTCCTCAAGCTTAGTTCGTGCTGTATTTGTAACCACTACGAATTAAGAAGACTGTGTCAATGTGGTGATAGACCTCCATACAACAAAACTTATTGTGTTAGAATTCAGATGTAAAAGTGGTTTCAAACAAAATACTCGTTGATACAGACTCTCTCTTGGTGGTCTGTAGTAAGCCAGGTGCTTGTAAAGCCTGTCACAGATTTCAGTTGCTAAATTCCAGCAGCAGTACATTAATACTAATCTCTCCAGTTATTTGTTGGCACTTGCCACGTGGAAATTGTGGAATAGATGACAGAATAAGCTAGCCACTCTGATCCAGGAACAGGAGAAAAGAAAGTCCATGCAGCAAACTTTTATGAGATTAGATTGAGGTCTCTAGTTTCAGCTAAGATAATTTTTCAACTTGTATGACGGATCAACTGATAAGAATTATACCAGGAAGTGGTTTTCATGCAAGTCGAAAATTAAGCTTATCATAATCTATTTTCCTAATGACTCTTCAATCTACTACTGACTGTCCCTGGCTGTAGAATGGTAAACATGGGGTAACCTTTGGCATGGTTAGAATTCTACTTTTGTAGGATTTTCATCCTAACAGGGATTCACAAGCATTAAATTCCTGTAATTATCAGTATTTTAAAATTAGTTTATCGTCTTAACACAGTACTTTTGTTCTGGCAAGTGGTTTACATGAAGTTATATTTGGCAAATACATTGATACAGCTACTATATACCTTTAAATTTGTCTTGCTGAGCTAACAGAGGCTTTTAGAAAACAGAAAATCACATTCTGACCATGGCAAAACTCACTATACCGCCTGATAAAGCTGATTACTAGGACAGAAAGCGATCTGAAAATTTTCATGTAAGCGACTTGAGGTGGAGCCCAACTCCTTTATGGAATGCAAGTTTCCTTGAGTAAGCTGCTTAGCATACTAAAAATTATTTCTTACACTTCCAAATTAAAAAAAAAAAATTGTTTTTTGCTTTTCAACAGAGCAACATCATATACATTTTCCTTTTGAGCAATCTCCATTGGGTCAGAGATGTTTAGTCATCTCTTCAGGGTAATTCCTGTCTTCTGATTAATAGAGAGTAGGCGAGAAAATGCTACCTTCTCCTTTTTTATCTCATATAATAAGCACACATAGAAAAGGGGAAAAAAAAATCAGATTCTAGGATATATAAACTATTTACTTTCTTGCCAGTTTCTTGGAATGGAAACAGCACACACAAGTTGCAAGTGCACACATTCATCTACGATTTTTTCATTCTGCAGGAAGGCATGAAAGACACACAGGAGATGGGAGGACAGTCTCTTTGCTACACTACTGAAATATGGGCAATTCACACAAAAGAGGCCATATTTAGTTGGGAGAAAGCTACCCATATTCATGTTGTTTTCCCACACAATGAAGCAGGAGACAAAATGGACGTGGTTTAAAGAAGATGTCTGTGGAGAAAGGTGAAGCACAGACAAAGCATTCCATAACAATTAGGAATAGGTAAATGCAGTTTCCTTACAGAGTAGCGTGCTGTCCAACACTTCTCTCTGTCCCTTTCTCACCCCTGAAAGGTTGCAGACACTAGTTTCCCAACATACTATGAACAGGAAGTTACTATGCTCTTACTTCAGCTACTAGCAACGATGTTGCTTTTCCAGTTCCAAAACAAAACAAGGATATGCGATTCCAAATCAAACCCTGTGTATGTAATATTGAACATCTACTTAAATATCTGCTTTACAAAGCATTGTGAAAGGCTTCTGAAGATTTCAGGAAGCAGAAACAAAAAAATAGAGCTGTACATCAGGCATAGGTATGACTTCCCTTCCTAAAATTGCCTTCAAGGCACAAACTAAAAAGTTTTGAAGCAATTTATTGTAGGTTATCACTTAAGAGTTCACTTGAATAGCACCTTAAAATCATATACTTTATAGTCTGGAGAGCTGATTTTGTTCTAGTCCTGCCATTTATAGAATTAAAAAGCAGCTCTAGATTGTTCTAAATATAGGTGTATAATGCATTTACTTATTTTTAGCAAATGTACATTCTAAATCAGCATTGACTGCTGCTTGTGCTTCATTGTCTATATATAAATGCAATATTCAAGGGTGTTTATTCTAACAGCCTTTACAATTGCCATTTTGATTTTAAAAAGTTACTGTTGGGGGGGGTTTTACAGTGTTTACAATTTCCATTTTGATTTTAAAAAGTTGCTGTTGGGGGGGGGGGGTAGGTAAATCCCTCCTTCCCTTCCTCCTGCTTTTCTGTTTGGATTGTAAAGTCAGCTGTAGATTTGGCTAATGTTTATTACAGCAGTTGGCATATTCGAAAAAGTACTGCAAAATAAGTATTACTCTTCATAAGATTTTCCAATTAAAAACAGTTTTCTGTGTTCTAGTAAAGCCCAACATTACCCTATGATCTCCTGTAAAAGCTGTCATCATCACAGGCGGAAACCTTTTTCACTCTGGGACTGAAGGCAATTTCTCTGCATGAAAGAAAATAAATCCATCTTAGCTCAGGTTTCATTACTTTATGTAGTTTATTCTGGGGTATATCTATAAAATTTATCAGTTGCTGCTATTTAAGGCCATCTACAGTGTTTCAGATAGTTCCAATGTACAAGCTAACATCTCACATTTGTAATTTACACCTAACCATAAGTTAAAGCTAAACCCCTTTGGCATAAAACTAAAAAGTAGTCAAAACTAGTTTTGCACAGCTTCCCATTACTTTATATAAAAGCACTACAAAGAGGACAAACCTGAAAACTGCACACAAGACTTACAATTCTGAGGCTGCCCTCAAAAAACCAAACAAACCACAAAAACCAACCAAAAAATCTTTGTCTCCACTTGGCTGTGGGAGGATTTCCAAGGCCACCGGCTGAAAACCGCGGCGACAGCTGAGGCCGCCCAGGTATGCCCGGCAGCCGAACCGCCCTGGCTTCGGCTCGGAGGCAGCAGTCGGGCGGTTAACCCGTCTTCTGGGGTCTGACTGACGTGAGCGGGAAGCGTGACGGGCAAGGTGCAATTTAAACCCGGTGCGGTTGGGTTGCGCATTCCTCCTTTAAAAATACCACGGTTTTCTTGATTCCTTCCACAAGTGTTAGCATTTCTCCCGTTTCCTCAATGTTTGCTAGCCTGAGCTTCATTTAACGCGATTTCATTACGCTCGCAAAACTGCTAATTTTAATTACTCATCGGTTTTTCAGGTGCAGGGCAACGTAACAGCACACCTGTGACACAGGTGTGTCAAAATCCACAAAACTGGCTCCACGCCGTTTACGTTTTTTCCTCTCGGTAGCTCAATTTTAGGCTACACCCGAAAAAAGTTTAAAAACCGGAAAGGGGGCGAGGCACGCCTGTGAGGGAGACGCGGGCAGGGGGCGGTTTGTAGGGCAGGGGACCGAGAGCCC